TCATAAATCTGTTACTGCTCTTATATGTATGTCCTTTTGACATTTGCTGGATATTACTTGATAAAATTTATATCTAGTATTCAAAGTGGTGCTTTCTAATTATCTGCATTCCCACTAAAATGTTACAAACTTGCTGCCAATTTTTGAAAGCCATGGCAAACTCATTGGGTACTTCAGAGAGAAATGTTTGTTTAGGTATCTTTATGTCCATCTCAGTTTTGTGTCATACTGCTTGCAACAATATTGGAAGAAACTGGGGAACTTGACCCTTGATTATTCCAATGAGCCTTTGACCTGATATTGTATTACACATTACTGATGACTTCCATCTTATTGACTCTGATATTATTACTCTCTCGAATAGACTCAAATAGGTTTTTGCTACCTCTGAAGCCTGTTTTCAAGATTTGTAATGTGATGGGTTACGACACAACACAGCAAGCTGTCACTATTCTACAGAAAGCATCTATCTGTTATGACCACATGCTGATGGACCTTGCTAGTTTTCCATCCCAAATTCATGTAGAAATCATGGACACCATAAATGATAAAGAAGCGAAGAAGGAAAAAAAATCTAGTGTAACACTATTATTCTACAAGGTAACTGTGAAACGTTTTTGACTGGTATTGACCACTCTTAAATTATTTATTTATTACCAATTTACTCTCTTACATTTTACTATCGTTACATAATTACTACATTTTACTTATTTCCTCAGATTGGACAAGTGAAATATCGTACACCACTTCTTTTGAAAACTACCAACCCCATTCTAGAAAATACTGATTCCACTGAGCATACCATATTCGACAAGTTTATCTAGTTGTATGCCTCTCCTGATATTCCTACCAGCAACCAGTTTTCTGCGTTAGGGAGTGATGAAAACATGGAAATAACTGGTGAAGAAAAAAGCATCAAAGATAATCAGCTACTCATATTTTGAATGTCACTGTTTATGAGCTTATTAAAACTCAACCTGACTATCACAAAATTATTATGGAACTTGAATATAATACTAAAACTAAATTCCTAGAAATATTTCATTCCAACTGTTTAAGAGTCATTCCTGAAATTATTGATGATTACAAAACAATTACTGAATACCTCAATTATAGTTCCACAGGTTGCTATGTTGTTAAAAATAAAAGTGACAGATTTGCATTGTATTACTATTCCTTGCAAACGTTAAAAAGGCCTCCCAAATAACTGCCCTTTTGAAGAAATCATGACTGCATTCTCTGCCCATAATTTAACCCCTAGAAAACCAAAGCCTTTGCTAACCTGTATACTGAAAATACCAAAACACCTGAAATACCTTTTGAGATTAACAGCAATTTCCTTCTTTCCCTATCCATTGATGCACAAAGAGGTGTGAGGATTTCATATGGCATCTTTTCCACTTCCTAACAAATAAAGATAAGAATTACAAATCCACAAATAAATCCTTTTAGGAATAGCTGTCTCCAATAAACTGATGTAATGCATTTGGGAAACCTGCACTTGCTGCTGCATACTTTAGGGGAAGGGAAGAAAAGAACATTGTAATTTCGGGCAGTTGTGATGGTTTGAACAAAACATTGTCTCAGGCATTTTGGTCTTGAAAAGATTAAAGTGTTAAAAGTTGCACAACTGAAAAATTTGAAGACCAAATCTCTGATTTCTATTTTCCAAACCTACCTAATTACCACGCTCATCGTGAATGAAATTTGTTCCATAGATAGATTAATGCATAAAATTCGGAAATTCAAACCTAAGAATTTTGTACCATAGTGGTTCAGTTGCTTTAACATTGGCAACTCTTCTCAAAACTGCAAATTACAACCAAGATGTGTCAAATATGACAAATCTCACCTTTTGCGCCAATATGATCTTAAGAAAATGGATACTGGAAATTGTTGTAATTGCCTAGGCAATCGCATCAGTTTGTACTGTGAATGTGAGAATTTCAAGAAATTTGTAAAAAAAATCTCAAATTCGACCTGGTCTAAGTTACGCTGCAGCAGCTAACCTTATGCATTCATAAAACCAGCTTAAAAAGAACTCTTCCCAGAAAAATGTCAGTAGCATGTAAGGATTATGTTAATTTTATTAGCAGTTAAATTTTAAGTTTTTTTCCTGTCGATTCTTAACTTCAACTTACTACTTCTGTCCAGAACGTAGTTTTAGAATCACATCTGAATACATAATGAGGAAGAATGGTATTTAACCGCGAAGTTCTTCGGTCTTAGTGAGAGAGTTACTAGGTATTCTGTCTGCATGCGTCCGCCTTTTTAGGCTACTCTCTCGTGAGCCATTCTTGCACTCGGCCGTACTTTAGGCCCTTGATAGCTTCGCAGTCCATTAGAATTAAGGGGCCAACTGGGTTAGAATCTTGATAGCTTTGGCTGTATCTCTTTAGATTAGTTTTAGTTTAATTCTTCCTCTATGTTCAGGCCAAGTGTCGGCTTTATTGTACACTCCAGACAGTTCTGTTAATCTTATTTGAATAAAAAGGGTTATTTACCCTTCCATCTTGTTGTTTCTTGTCAAATGTACTTAAGCGATTATTCACTTATCAGTTCTTAAGATTCTTCACGTTCAACTATAACTTAGCATTTACAAAGTGAGAAACTCTACAGTGGCGCCCGAAGTGGATGATGACTCTCCACACCCAGGATTTTGCGATTGGGTCCCCTAAAAACCCCAGTCACCCTTTAAAAGGGGGAGTATATAAGGAATTTTCCCACCTTCCTATCATGGTGTAGTGGTCAGCACACTAAGCTGGTATTTCAGAGGTCTGTGGTTCGATTGTCGGCGAAAGCGGTTACTCATTTTTCATTTTGCCTGCTTCCAAAAATATACCTAATGTCTCTACAAGCATTCTATCTCACTTACTTCCACCATGGAAGATGTAATCCTGAATGACCTCAAAATTATCTCTGAACGGTTGAATGTTTTCAAACAGATATGCAAAATTTTTGTCAGAACTAATATTATAAAATTTATGCGACACATGTATGCTGTGTGCATTTTCTAGGTTGCCATATAAATAGTCTTTGGCAATGTCATGGGCTATCACATAACTTTTGTCTATGTGGTGCATTGCCTCATCAGTGCCTTTTTGTAGTTTACAGGTGGGGCTGTAAAGTCTTTTCATTTTAAATAAGCATTGTGTATTTTGCCAATAATTTATATTTTTTTTTCTGAAAACTGATCTTTGATTTAATTTGAAATTGAGGTAAAACATAAACATACAATAATATAATCAGAGGCATTTATATTTAATTGATAGAAATTTCATAAATTTGGAGTAATGTAGGTCTTTATATACTTATATGTGAGTAAACCAGTTAGCATCATTAACAGATTTCTTATCAATGTAAATATGTAGCTAATTATTCTGAGTAATTCTCCTGTGTTTCTTTGATATAGAAACAAGTGCAGTATACCTCTAGTAATGCAGTGCAAAAATAAATTTTAAACAAACAAAGAATTTAAGGTTAGAGATAAATTAAAAATTAAGCATACAACAACTTTGCTGCAGGAAATGGGGTTGAATATATTAGCTCTTTTTAGCTAATGACACATCATAGTACTTTCTGAGTGTCTGCACCCCCCATGAAAAGTCATTAAATTTATCTTTGTGAACCAGTGGAGAACATTTGTTTGTTTATCTTTATGCTAATAATTACTATGTTATTCATGAGTAATAATAAGATAACAAGAATCATTTAATAAGAAATAATTTTTTATACAATATCAGTACTTTCTGATTATCCACACCCCCACCAAAATATCACAAAATATTTCATGATGCAACGTCACCGAAATGTCACAACCATCTCACCAGAAAGGATTTATGTGGCAATACAGATACTTACATCCCAGATGTACATGTGAATTTTCACTTTTGAAATTCAATGGCCATTTTTTCTGATTAATATTTCTTTTTGTGTTTTCTTTTTACATTTATTTTTGCCATAAGAAATAGCAATGAAACTGAAAAGTTTGCCAACTGATGAAAACGAAAGTGTTGCATTTCTTCAGAAATACAGTGTTTTGCTCAGTAATAGAGGAATGCCGAAATTTGCATCCTATGAAGTTGTATTTTTTAAGTGACTGAATTTCATGGAAATATTGTGTCAAAAATTGCAAGCAAAGTGTTAGAATTGGGTTTGAAAACTAGTTTAAAGATAGCCGTATCTCATTTACTCGAACTGAATTTATTTAGTAGTATTGGACAAAAGAATATATGTTGGTAAAATTCTGAACGGGGATCATCTCCAAACACAACTATCGATTACTGTGATTAGCTACCATCATTTGAGAAGTGTATATGTCTTCTGTGGAAAAATGAGAATCTTAAAATATAGGTGACACTAGATGCAAGGATACCAAAACAAGTGTTTGGCCCAGGGTCACGAACAAATTTGTGAATGTCCTTCAAGGTCAGCAACAAGTTCACAATTTTTTAGTCATGGTACAAATAATCAGCAAGTAACCCAAATTCTATATAATCAGTATTTACATTTTTATAGCCAATGAGTACTATTTAGCAACATAACTGTTAAATATAAAACATGTAAATATGCATGTACTAAAACATGGCTGTGGTATGCATATACTGGGATTATTTATTGTATACTCAAAAATATGCCAAAAAGAAGCAATTCTATTGAAAGTTGAAACTAAGGGTACCCTTAGAAATTACCCAGGTAATTTCTATCATTTATAAATTCTACAGAAGTATATATTTTTTTTAAGATAGAAAGTTTATATTTCTGTTACTATTTTATTCTTATTTTTATTTTAATATCTGTGGTAGTTTTTATTTTGAACATTTCATTTGAATTATCTGAACTGTTAAACACTTGCAGAAGAATCATTGGTCGAGTGATCAGATTGAAAGTATTTCTTTGATACTGTTACCTTGACTATGTATATTTATTAATCTTGCTAAATTACTAAAATTTAAGAAGTTATATTTTTCTAATTTAATTTTCTTTGAATTGTGTTATAGATCATGGATTTAAAATTGATGTAGTATATTACTTACAACATTATGCAGAAGGATGGACTGATGATCGCTGGGAAGAACGTGCAGATATAAGAGACTGTGTGGATTCTCATCCATATCAGAAAACAAAAAATGGTAAAATTCATGGATGGTTTTGGGGATATTCAGATATTTTTTCAGATGATTTTTATTGTTTATCAATTCAAGGATATAGCAGTACTTTGAAAAGATTTCTTCAAACTTCAGCTGCTAGGTTTGTAATTGCTTTGTTTAGATTTTTAAATGTCTCACAATATTTAAATTTTACTTAAGTCCATATGCCTTTTTTCTTTTTTTTAAAAAAAATATTCTCAAATGCATCTTAGAGGAAATTGGAATAAGATTTATTAAATGAATAGATGCATTATTGAGAACTGAGGAAGTGTAAGTTATTTTTTAACTATGAATTTTATATTAAAAACTAAGCCAGATTGTTAGAATGTGCTAATTTTTAAAAGGTATAATGAAATAGAGAGTAAGATGAAGGTTAAAGGCAGATGATGTGCTGAAAAACGAATAGCATGTCCTTTCTGCATATGTTTAATTCTTTACATATGTGCAGTAGACATTTTTTGTGTTAAAACAAGAAAGTTGTTATTTTTTGGTACTGCCGCATTATCTGACCAATGCTCCCGCAAAGTTGTCAGTCATTGGCGGCTAATTTTTTGTCACCCTAACATGCAAAAAACAGCTGCCATTTTAAAAAATAGCGCACCAGTGAGTGAGCATTAAAAGCTGCTAACACTGGTAGTTCGGTTTAGGATTCAAGTCCCAGTGAATGGGCTGGCTGCATGGGTGTTTTCAGGATTTACTCCATGTGTAACATGGATGTAAGCCAGTTTCCCTTAAAAACTCATCTATGCAGCATCACTCCCCTCCCATATAGTGCCAAGTGGTGGACATGTAATAAATAAAGAAAATTTTAACAAACCGCACTGAAACTTACACAAAACAACAAAAAATTAATAAGATTAAAAAAGTCGTAATGAACCACTGAAAATTACATAAAACAGCAACAAATTAACTAAATTAAAAATGCAAAAATCATTCATAATGAAATACTAAAAATCACATAAAACAACATCCATAAGAAAATGCTGAAAATTACATAAAAGGAAAACAAGTCAACTAAATTAAAAATGCAACAAAGATGCATAATAAAGCACTTAACTGTAATTTTTACCTGTCTTCTGCCGATGTGCACAGCAATGTGTTTTAACGTAAAACATCAGAGTACTGCAAAATTCTTGGCATTGCTTTGAAACTTGGCCAACATCCTTAAAAAGATCACAGAATTTTGTTTACTTGGAGAAAACTATTAACACAATTACCTAAGAACAATTAATAAACTCCTTTCAAGCTGCACGATTTCTATAATAATCTAACAGCACAGATAAATAAAAGCCAGACAAATGCATCATTTTATATGCATACTTCAAATATGCTAATGAAAACAATCCGGACAATATTTACATTTTTTAAAGCTGGTGGATGCTGTTCTGCTATCAGTTTTAAAATCTCTGCAAAACAGTTTTTTTTTGCTTTCCTTCATGACATTTTCACCAATGAATTTCCTAAGATAACTCAAAGTTTGTAAAATACAACTTCATGGGATATGCATTTGTAGACTCTACTACTAGGCAAATCACTATATTTTTGAAAAAATGCAACTTTTTTTTATTTGCAGGCAAACTCCACAGTTACATTATGAAAGGGGAAAAACTCCGCACAATAATCACAAGTAGAAACCACAAACATGACACTCAGATTCAGAACTGTGCATAGTTAGTATGTTGCCAGACAAAATACATTTTTGTAAAATTCTAAGAGACCTACTTTGGTGACATAGCACTTTGCCAAGTTATTCTTGTCACTGTTGGGCAGATAATATGATATTACCTACTTTTTATAGAATATTAATTTTTTCTAAAAGGAGGGATCTTGTGCTCTCTATTTCTTTGTAGGTGTTCTCTTTCTTTCTTTCTTTTTTTTTTTTTAAACATTTTGTATGGTATACAAAATATTATATTATGTTGTTGTCTGTGTGGGCAAAATTATTGCTGGACTATATATGAACAGATGGCTTAAAAAATTGCTTAAAACTATACCTGGATGCTATGTTTTCAGAAATTTATAATATTTAATTATGAAATTTTTTGGAAAGAGTATTTTACAAAATATCCCTAATAACTTGTTAAATTGAAAGTAAGAAAAATTCAGTGTATGATTCCATAATTAATGCTACAACTGTTCCATAATTCATGCTTTGTAAGACTTTGTAAGATTATGCCTTGTTGCATTTATTTGAAATATGTCATAAAAAATTAATGTTTGCAAAGAATAGTTTTTATTCGTTTGTAAATGCCACTACCTCTTGGCTTCAAATGTTTCCTGTTATTTAAATGCCTTTGCCATTTGAATGGTGTGTATGTAACTAATCTTTTTATGTAAAAGATACAGTATTTTGTGCCAGTTGACTATCAATTTTGAAATTTTTCCAACAAATTTGGAGACAGTATTTTAATGTGATTACAATATAAGAAATATTTTTAATATAAATGACTCAAGACAGAAAAATTAAAGGAGTTAAACATTTTATTCTCAAAATTTCTTCCCTATTCTCATTGAGGTATTCCTTGATGTCAGTATGATCTATCAATTACAACTTGCTATGCATTTCTTTTGGTTAGATAAGGATAAGTGAATTTACTATTTTTAGATATGAAAATATTTGGTAATCAACTGTGTAATATTCAAAATCTGTGCAATGGTTCTTTTGAACTTTAAATATATGATATGCATGTAAACTGGAAAGAAGGTAAACCTTTTTTAAAAAATATTTCATTGTTTTGCTAAATTTTTTAGAAATATTTGATTTTTAATATGGATATACTGATAAACTTAAAAGAATATAGAATCCAAATTTTATGTATGTTATAAAATTTTCATTTTTAAAGTTTATTTATTGATAACCTAAATATTTGTAAGGACCTTCTGTAAATGTGTGCAACTAGTATCTAATCAACCAGTATGGGAAATTTCAGTATAGCTATAGTAATTTACATCATATTCACAGCGCATTTATACAGCATTATGCTTTGACATAGCACATAGTGCTCTTAGCAACAAAATTTTGTCAGTTGTGTAATTTACCTTTTAAAAACTCAGAAAAACTCATGATTCTATTAGAAGATAATTTTATAAACTATTGTTCATAACTAATTATAAGCATATCATGAAAAAAACAACTGTTGGTAAAAGAAATAAGCAGACTTAAGTGTTAAGCTTTTAACAATACATAAAAGTTTCAATTTTTTTTTAATATATTCAAATGTTTTAGTACTTTTTGAAAGATAACATGCATGCACATACACATTAGTGTGTGGAGAGAGAATGAAAGAGAGATATTTGTATGTATTTTCAGTATGTATATTATAGGTGCTGCTTAAATTGATCTTTTTAAAACAAGTATTTTCACTCTAAACCAGGCGTAGTGAACCTTTTTATAGCTACCACCCACTTTGTAAACAGTAAAATTTCTATGCTGGTTACTCGTTCACAGTAACTTAATATAGGGCAACTGCAAAGAAATTTTTAAGGTAAAGCTTTAGTAAAAAATATATGGTTAAATTTGTGCATTTATCTATACTATAACTTATAACATTAAGGAAGAAATGTTGACAAAGAAAAATTTAACAAAAATCTTTTTCCAAATGCTAAAAATAATTTTTGTTAATAATACTCATAGACCAAGAGATTAAATTTAGAGCTATTTGAATTAAGAATAACCGATTTGTTATTCACATAAACCCAGAACTAGCGCCAGGGCTCGTATGGCCACACTGGTGGCGGAATGTAAGGAAGACAAAGGGAGGCACTTAGTAGCAGAATTTAGGACCCACAGACACTGCATCAGGTGGTAAGATATCTAATAAGCCTTAAGTATATGTGGGAATTCATTTATTCAGGATTCGGATAAGTCTCATAAGCCTTTATTTATTCAGAACTCAGATAAACATCTGCAAAAAATAGACATAAGTATAATGAATAACCAAAACTAATTCAATTCAGGCTTAATTATCTCAGTGTGCGATAGAAGCAAGATAAAATTTAGCTGAACAACTTGTCTTTAGCTGCCAATCTTATGATACATAGCCAAATATGTATAGTGAACGACAGCTAAATTTTATGATGATAGCCGTGAATTTTAAAGGTTTTTGGATATTGCAAGCTAAAGGTGAAATTTTCCAATTAACAGATTCTGTAAAGAAATGTGGAGAAGCGGTAATAAATGAAGATGATATAAATGTGGAGAAGCGGTAATAATGAAGATGATATAAGTCTTCCATTGTAATGGCAATGCTCCTCAATCATCATCAATTAATGGATGGAGAAATCTGTAGTATGGTTTCTAGATCCAGAAAATATCACTACCAATAGTGAGGAACGTGACAGAGAAGTTACTGGAAACGAAGAAATTTCGATTGACAAGTTAGTTGGGATTCTCAACACAGCAATTACATGGCTTCAACAATGTAACTGAACAAGAAATTATGTCTGTCTACAGAATTAAAGAGAAAGTATTAGCACAAAAAACGACGGAACTTAAAACATTGAAAGAAATGTTTAATAAAGTAAACAAATAAATAGTAAGCTTTTTTTGTAAATTTTGATACCCTTTAGATCATAAATGCTTCATTATTTCATAAATCACAGTTTCTTATTTTTAATTTTGTAATTTCTGCATGCCGTCTTACTAGACTTAAACTGATGATCTAATATCTGAAATCACGGAAGTCCTGGTGAATCTGGGTCTCTGACTTTGCACTGTACTTGATGTTTGCTGATATAAAATAAAAAATATATTACTGTGAAATTCAAAGTTAGTGTTTGAATAAAAAATAATTATGAAAATTTATTTATTAAAAAATAAATGAACATTGAGTTATTTAAAAAATTATAACAAAAAAAGAGAGTATGATAATTGTTATGGACAAAAGCAGAGTATGATTATGGGTATGGATAAATGAAATAGACTGTCATTTAAAAAAAAATATAGAATGAAACAGAGTATGATTGTAGATATGAATAAAGAGTGGATAAAGGCAAACGATGTGCTGCAAAAAGAACACCATATCCTTTCTGCATACACGTCATTCTTCACAATTGAGCTGTAGACATGTTTTATGCTAAACCCTAGTAATTTTTCATATTGAAATAGCACTCTGATGACTACTATTATAACTTGCACTCAGTGAAGATACACTCTATATATATATATATATATATATATATATATATATATTATATATATATATATTTACTAGATAATATTGATTAATTGATTATATTATCTCCTAAGTTTAATTATAGTAGGATTATCTTAAAAGAGTGAATCCATACTATCCATACTATAATCCATACTATAAGAGTGAATCCATATTAAATGCTAATCATTGTAAGTTATATTTTGAAAGATGTTTTGAAGTAACTTGAAAGTAAAATGTTAAAAATGTTTTAACGGGGACTGTAATTAAATCATGAATAACAAAATTTCAATTGTAAAAGGAATAAATTAAAGGCAAGAATTAAATTAAATGCTAATCATTGTCTTTCACACTAAATGAATTTAAGATCATACAACATTTATATTGCGAAAGAGATATGGTTGTTGAAGGATAAAATATTCTACTGTATTTGTTCTTAATTTTACTAATGAATTATACATTTCTTGATATATTTCTTTTGTATAACCATTGCTAACATTTTCTTTGTCTCAGTGCTATTATGGTAGATCGGGCTGAAGTCATTTTACATGATTCATTTGGTGATGCTGAATACTGGAGGGTAAATATTTTCACATAATCATTGTTGTGTTGTTTTGTGTCATATTTAAAAAGATTTATTGGTATTTTTCTGTTGATGGAGTACCATTCGTCAAGTGTGTGCCAAAACACCAAATATATTTCTTCTAGATGAATTGACTGTTGCTGGATATGAACACCTGCAAGTTAACCCCCAAAACAGCATTATTGATCCTGATATGGGATGTCATGTGCAAATTAATGACACAAACATGAGTACAACATTGGCTACCACCATCTGGATTCTACTTCCTTAAATGTAAAATGTTTGTGTAAAAAATGTAAATGTTATGCTTCCTGTATAACCTAAAATTAAGATAGTATAATATAATTTGCATATTTGTATTTGTCTTATTTTACATTTTTTGTGTTTAATAAAGTAGTCTTCTTTTTATGAAGCTTTACATATCATTAGGATTGTTGACATCTAGTTAGATTTCATGCCAGCATTTATGTTTGGCAGTAACTATCATCTTGTTAACAGAAAAATACCAATTTCTTATTCCATTGCACTCCGTCACTTCTGTGCTTATTATCCATTAGTTTGAAATTTCTGGGAGTATGAATGAATTGTTTTAGATGATGTACTTTAGTTTATCTCTATAAACTCCAAAATACCTGATGTCTCTACATCGGGTATTTTGGAAGCAGGAGAGATGAAAAATGTGCAGCGGCTTCGCTGGGAATCGAACCGTGGACCTCTGGAATACGCTCCCACGTGCAGACCACCGCACCAAGAAGGTGGGAGAAATACACCTTATATGCTCCCCCTTTTAAAGGGCGACTGGGGTTTTTAGGAGACCCAATTGTCAAATCCTGGGTGTGGAGAATCGTCATCCAACACCCTTTTAGTTTGGGCGCCACTGTAGAGACATTAGGTATTTTGGAAGCAGGAGAGATGAAAAATGTGCAACGCCTTCATCAGGAATCGAACCGCAGACTGCTGGAATACTCGCCCAACGTGCAGACCACCACACCACGAAGGCATGTCACGAAGACGGGAGAAATACCTTATAAGTTTCCTGAGAGTTCAAAAATGTGTTTGTAACATTATAAGTCTTTATACAAATATTTTTTTTATCTGTAAAAGTTTTTACTGATAAAATCCTTGTCAATTAATAACTTATTAAATAATTACTTTATTTTAAAACTTATTCTATGTGTTACAAAGAAATGCTTTAAAAATCTAAAGATAAGACTTTCATATGAGGAACCAGGTAAAAGTAGTCTTCAGGTTTTTATGATAAATGAATTTAAAGTAACAAATATTAAAAGTAAAATATGTTAAGATATTTTTCATTGAAACAAAATTCAATTTCCATTTGAAATATCATTCCTAGAATTAATAGTCTTAAAGCAACTGTTTGCATAATTTTTCCAATAAAAGGCATTGCTGTGAATAATTTGAAAGTAATACAGAAAGTATAATTACCAGAGCTTTTCATGGTTGTAATAATGTTTGCAGGAGTTGCACAGTCTTATTTGTAGGGAAGCAGCTAAAAATTACAAAATTTGAATGCTTCTAACAGATGGCATAGGTGTTGCACCAGCATCATAAAATATCAAGAAAATGTGAGATTTGTAAGATAGCTGTGACTAAGATTTTTGCATCTGAGATGAGCAGAAATTTATCATCAACTTAATGTGGTGTTAATGCCATGTAAATAAGTTTGGCTTTGGTGAAGTTCAATAAAGGAAATACAGATGTGCAACATGAGAAATGATCTGCTTAGCCAAGCATGTCTGTTGCAAATGAAAATGTTTGCCATAATGTTTCAGATGATCATTGCTTTCAGTTTAATATTGCTAAAAAACTCAATATCTCAGTGAGTAATGTATAAAATATTATTCATGAGCAACTGAGCTACTGGAAAGTATGATCCCCCTATGTGTCAGAGCATCTCGCAGATGTTCATAAAATGAGTGGGATTGTCTCTCATGCACTTGATACAGTTAATGTGAAAGGTATCACATATCTAAGCCATATTATTACAGAGGATGAAATGTATTATGTAGCAGATGAGATAATGCAAGATCTTTGTCATGAAAACACACATTATCACTCTTCTTTTAAAAATTTCAAAAGTAGATTCAAAGAAAATTGGCAGAAAAAGGTCTAAACAGCTAAGAATTGTATAGCAATGGACTTATGGGACAACCTGCTGTTTGATTTTCTCAATAGGACAGTGACAGTGAATGCTGCCAATTACTGTAATTAACTGAGGCAACTGTTCAAGACGAAGCAAGCATATATGTTATAAAAACAATGATCGTAACATCTTCCAAGAAATTCAAAATAGTTCTATCCTCAAAGAAGCTTATGGCAATGATCTTTTGTAACTGCAACAGCATGTTACTGCTTGGTTTACTCACCAGGAGAGTGAAAGTGAATGTCGTTAATTATTATACTATAGTTATGCAAAACCAGTTCACAGAAAACAACTAAAACTTCTTGTAAAAGACACATGGTATTGCATTAGCAGTGCCTAACTGCACATAGCTACCATTACACATGATCTATTACAATTCTTTTTACTGGAAAATAATGGATCATCTTCCCTATAGTCTGGATTTGGCACTCAATAATTTTCATTTCTTCATATTTTTAAAGAAGATCGGGGGTGGTAGATTCACCACAACTGATAAAGACTTTCTGTAATTTGTCTTGATGTGGCCTCAGGGACTTGATGCTGATTTTTTCTGTGTCTGTATTTAATGCTTTAGTGTATTGTTGGAATAAGTGTTCGGATAAATGTAGTTTATGTTGATAAGTAATGATTATTAGCGCCTTATTTCTGTGTATCCATATGGAATGAAGTGTGACTCTAAGAGGGTTTGCTATCTTACTTTTTGAATTGCCTTCATATATGTATTATCCCATAATATTTTGAGTTCAACTATACACATGGATTCTTTCATATAAATTGCTAAATAATCTGGAATTGATAACTAAGTTTATTATTAGATATATTTTTCTTTTCTTTTGCAATTAGTTTGAAACTGATACTAAATGAGTAATTGTTTCATAAAAAAAGATTGAGATACTAGTATCTTTTTTTTTACAAAATTTTAATTAATATACTGTTTTGACACTAGAACAATAGTACTATTTTGGAATTAACTAATATTAAAGTACCTTTAATTACACTATATGATTTTGTTTATTTTATAAATTGAATTTTTATTTATTTATTCATAACTGAATATTAACAAAGGAGACAAAATGCAAAACAAAAGAGACATTCATAATTGAATGTTAACAAATGAGGTAATGAATTGTAAAAAAGACTTATTTATTGCATTATAATTGCTTTTGGTCTTGTGTTGACTTGAATGAAACTTTAGCATATCATTTTTTAAATCGGGTGAATGAATTTTTAACTGATAAAATTGAAACAAAGATTTAGAAAGTTTTCTTATTGTTAGCCCATGAAATCAGTTTTTTCCCAGTACTTTAAACAGGAATCCAAATTTGAAAAATTTACTAAATAATCTAAGATTTTCTCATAATATTTTTAAGATTTTGTTTTACAAATTGCACAAAATAAAATTTTGATTAATAATTTATTTAATGAAGTCATGACCATTTTAGCATAATATTATGCCAAAATAATTGCATAGCAATTTCAAACTAATTACTTTTCCAAGTTAAAAGCTAAAATTTTAAAAAACAATTTGCAGTTTATTTTGTTTGTAATGCAATGAATAACAAAACAAATTTTATTCTTTTCCAGGTTAGACGTAGTATTGTTTTTTCAAAAAAGCTCATTGCTATTGGAGATGATTTTAGACATAAGTACTTAAATTCAACTGATGAGAAGGATAAAACTGTGAAAAGCTATGATAAACAAATTACTAATTTTGAACGTAAAGCTGTAGGTGGACCTTACATTGGTGTTCATTTACGAAGACGAGATTTTGCTTATGCAAGGCCTAAAGAAGTTCCAAGTATTGAACATGCTGCTAAGCAACTTCTGAAGATTATGAAGAAGAAAAATCTACAAACTGTATTTGTAGCAACTGATGCTTTAGATTCTGGTAAGTAATTTAAAGCAGAGAAAAATTAAAGGTTTAATATAAGAACTGAACATGTATTATTTTGCTGGAATGTATAAAATTCTCATAGCAAAGAATTTTTTATGTGAATCATATGAAGAATTAATATTTTAAATACTTTTTGCATAAATACCAGTGATGCATTAATTATGGGAAGTGTCTGAATTACTCTTTTTTTGATTATAGCCAGTTTTGTTAGTAAGATTTGATATGCTTTTATTTTAGTTATATATAGTTTTAATTTTGCCATTTATGTCTTCTAAGTGTATTCTGTTATGTACACTGCGCAAAAAAAGCTGGGTGGACAGTTCTATATCTCTTGTTCTATTGGGCCGATTAACGAAATTCAACTTGCGTTTTTCATGTCTCGAAAGAGCGACATAGGATATGTATTAGATTTATATAGCATTGTTCTAATATAGGTATTTTGACACAAAATCGGACTTTTTCTGAAATAACATACCAATTTTTTTTCCATATTTCGATTCTATTACTCAAATTATGCCAAGCTACCAAGTTTTGTAAAAATCACACCAGTAGTTTTTAAAAAATTAGCTCTCAAAATTTTAGCTCCTCAATGTTAATTGAGTTTGGTATACATTTATTAATCTCTCTTTTTTTTATTAAACTTATTTGATTCTTCCTTTCACATTTGGAAATTTAGGTTCATTCCAAATAAAATTCACCCATTTTTATGATTTATTTTTAAAATTTGTATTTTTTAATAATTTTTATAAATTTTTCAAAACAAATTTTGAATTATAATCTATAAAATTTTTATCATCTTAAAGTAGACGTATTTATTTCTAAGCATACCTGCAAAAAATTACAATTTTTTATGCAAAATTTCTGAAGATATACGTGAATTTATATATTGGCGCATTTTGAAATTTGGCATATTTGTTAAAAGCGATAAAACATCAAATGTGATTTAGACACTTTGCTAAAATTATTTGGAAGTAGAAACGATGTGACTTATTTTCTGCTCATGCACAATGTAAAAAAGGTAGGAAGAAGGTACTTTTTTTTCCTCTCCGGCATAATAGACGTGAAAGGAAATTGGTTGCCACATATGAAGAAGTTCGTCAAGTGAATTATTCTTGGCAAAAACTGAAAAAATTGTGCCGAGATAAATTTTTGAATTTCTCCATAAATTTCACACCACATTTTACAAAATTTAATATCTATGAGTAATTTTAGTCATAGAATCGAAATATGAAAAAAAAAATTGGTATGTATGTCAGAAAAAGTCTGATTTTGTGTCAAAATACCTATGTTAGAACAATGCTATATAGTATAAAACTAATATACAGCCTAAGTCTCGCTGTCAAGACATTTAAAATGCAATTTGAATTTTGTCAATTGGTCCAGTAGAATGAGAGAACTGTCCCCACTTTTTTTTTTGTGCAGTGTACTTGAAATGTTCATTCTGCGTAAAATACTTTTTTTCCCTAGCTGCATTTTGTAAGATAAATTTTGCCAATCATTTTTAAGACTAAATATTTTCAAATGTGTTGCAAATATATAGTAATATATTTATTTCAGAATTTAAAAAGCTTCAAGTCTATATACCTAGTGCCATGCGTTTTGTGCCAAGCAAGAAAGTTCATAAAGAGATATTAGATGGAGGAGTGGCAATTATAGATCAATGGATATGTGCACATTCAAGGTACATTTCTCAATTTTTTCTTATTGAGAAAACTTTGTGATTATTGCAAGAGATTAGCCTTTGCAATATAACTTCTTTTCAAAAAATAATGCTAAATTTGTGTAATAGAAAATTACAATTTCCCCAAAATTAAGTTACTGCTTTGTTTTATATGCTTATTCAAGCAAAAATTAATAAAACATGCAATAGTGATACGATTGCAAAACTATGTATGGAATGGTGTTATTAGCCTATTCTTTTATTAATGCATGGTTTCAACCCTAAAGTCATGGTTGTGCTGCACTACAAGCGTCCTTGCTTTCCAGTATCAGAGTCATCTCATCTCTCGGTGATCTCTGGAAATTGATGAAATAAATAGAGGAAAAAATTAACAGTATAATACGTTTTAAATAATCTAATGATCAACCTTCATTTTGAAAGATTTTCAGCAGCAGGACATTTTGATAAACCAGTCTTTGGCACTATTTCAGAATTAATAATCCACCTAAAATAAAACTATGAAATTGTCAGGGCCCGACTTAGCCTAATTGAGGCCCAGGGCAAAAACTTCTTTGGGAGCCCCCTCTGCTTCATTACTTCAGTAATGAAGAACTGAACTTTATGGAGGTTTTAAAATTTTATAACAAGAAAATTGACTAGAATCTAAAATAGCTATAAAGTACCCCCCTCCAATGGTCAGACGAAATATCGCTCTGTCCATTTTATTAATTTTCTGATGATTCTCTGTCCATCATTAAAAGGATATAGCACATCTGAAGAGCCAGAATTTGACAAAAGTGCTATTTAAATTTATAATTTAAAAATGTAAAGACTTTTTAAGCAATTTGAATTAATTAATGCAAAATACCATAGACAAGTCCTATGCACTTAGAGGATAGGCTAAAAAGCTTTTTTCCATACATGCTGCATCATCTTCATAACATAAGTGCATCTAGTTCTGCCTCTTGTTTGTCATAGTATTACAAATCCAGTTCTTTTTCAGTGTTTTTTTTTTTTTTTTTTTTTTTTTTTCTAATTTTACTTTAAAACTATCAATTACATCATCCTAATCAATATTTTTTGTTATACCAGAATTTAAACATAACATAGAAAGTTGAGACAATTTTCTTCGAAGAATATATGATCTTATGGAAAATTTTAATCTCTTCAGAAATGAAAAAGATCTTTTCCCAGTGCAGTTTGAAATTGGAAATGATTAAAAAAAAAAAAAAAAAAAAGAGTGCTGTGAGAAAATAAAAATGATAAATTAATTTTGTTTAAAATTTTCAACATATCTAATGCAGTTGCCTGCTTATCTACTAAGGAATGGAAATGTTGCAGTTCATCAAAGATCTCCATGTAAATCAGAAGGGTTACCAGTTCCTCTAGTTTTTTTAAAGTTTGATTTTTGTGTTTATCAAACATGAAAATTTATTTCATTTATAAGGTATTTCTCCTGCCTTCCTAGCATGGTGTAGTGGTTCTGCACGCTGGGCTGGTATTCCAGAGGTCCTTAATTCGATTCCCGGCAAAGGCGATTGCTCATTTTTCATCTTGCCTGCTTCCAAAAAATACCTAATGTCTCTACAGTGGCACTCGAACTAAGAGGGTGTTGAATGATGATTCTCCTCACCCAGGATTTGGCGATTGGGTCCCGTAAAAACCCCAGTCTCCCTTTAAAAAGAGGGAGTATATAAGGTATTTCTCCCGCCTTCATGGTGTAGTGGTTCTGCACGCTGGGCCGGTATTCCAGAGGTCCATGGTTTGATTCCCAGCAAAGGCGATTGCTCATTTTTCATCTTGCCTGCTTCCAAAAAATACCTAATGTCTCTACACGTAATTTTATATGTAATTTTATGATTGGCCAAATTTAACATCAATGTATCGCATAACATATAGTGAAAGTTAATAATATATTGATCACATGGCTCAAGATTTACTTCAGGTGCATTTCTATCATCTAACAACCTACTTCAAGGTGTCACATTTTTCTTTTTACCTCATACATACTGTTTTCTGGCAAAATTTCTAGCGCTTCAGCTTCATATTTCGTAAATTCATTTAAAACAGACTGCATAAAATCTATTAAAGATACAAATAATGGTGATACTATATCTAATTGTGCCATAGAATTCTGGAGAACTTTACTTGTTTGATTTAATCTTTGTAAAATAGAAACCCACGCAACTGTATTTAGTGCATTTTCAATCTTTAGTAATTTTTTATAAAGAGCTTTAGCTCATTTCTAGTGGAAGGAGTTTGCTCATCTGCCAAATAACTCAAAGATTTTAGAACCAAAGCATAGTTTTGATGCAATGCCTTAGTAGCATTTGCACAGCACACCATTGTGTATGTAAACAATATTTAAAGTCAGTTTTTGTTTACTTTCTTTAAAATTTTCAATCATAATCTGCCACCAGTATGTTGAAACATGAAAAAAGTTATGTAATTCTTTGCTGGTATTCTAGAAAAAAAATTTACAATTTCAGAAGCTCGTATTTTTGTAAACATATTACATTTTGCAATATGTAAAAATACAGGCTTTTGATTGGCCAAATTTTCCATCGTAATTGCAAAAATTTAACTGAATTCCACACTAGAAAACCATAGATTTACGAAATATAGATTTTTTGTGTTCATATGATAGATTAATGAAGAAGCTAATATAAAACTGATGGATTTTACACTGTACTGATACTTTGTTTAAAAAAAATTCATTAAAGAAGGAAACATAAAACAAACTTTCTATTTGATTTGGAGCCCCCCCCCCTCTTCTGATGTTGGGGCCCGTGGCAACTACCCCATATGCCCCTGCCTTAGTCAGGCTCTGGAAATAGATAGTGTTTGAAAATTGTATATTGATTCAAAGTTATTATGCTAGCAATGTATTCCCCCCCCCTTTTTTTTTTTTTTTACTATTTTTATCATTTGATAATTAAGAGGAGAAAACAATGCAAATAATTTAATTTACGAAAAATATGAAGAACCTGTGAAAAAGTAGTCATGGATACACTACATGTAACTATCACAAAATTATTTCTTTCAAATGATGTACATTCAAATAAAAATACATAATAAATAATATTATCGTTGTTGTTGTCATGTCTATAACAGAGCCGATTCAAATAGTGCCATGGGCAAAGATGACTGCCCTGGTAATCTGCAAAATGTTATCATCATAGATGTTCAGTCTCTTAAAGAAGACCCCCAATTTTTAACAATTCAGCAAGATGGCCAAAAAATAGAAAATATGTGCAGTTGTTGGTTCTGTGTCCAGGTACATTATCTAATAAAATATCTTCATTTCTACTTTCCTGTAACTAGAATCTTATCCATTCTAATCTTGTCTCTGCTGCTCATTGGCCTCAAATCATCCGTAAATAATAAGAGAAAGTGAATGTGCACCTGATTCAGTAAAATCATAGACTGAATGTCAGTTAATGATTGTTTCTCTATGATTGTTTGGTTCTTGCATTAGGCTGGCATAAAGTTCAACAGTTAGAAGGGAAGTGTTTGACAGGAAATTTTCAAATTATTTCAAGGGTTTGTCTTTGACAGTAAGATGAAAGAAATCACTACATGGGTTTATTGATTGTATTCTCTGAGTGTACTGAGGAAGGGAAAAATTAAGTAACATTTTTTTTTTTTTTTTTTTTTTTTTTTTTTTTTTTTTTTTTTGTTTTTAAATTTTCAGAACTTTGCAGTAAAAAGTTAAGGTGAATATGCTAGGAGATGTGATTATATTATTGAATTTAGTATTTCATGGTTTTACTGTCAACCAGTGATTAATCACCAAGTTTGGTGGCATTTATCGTCAGTCAATACAAAAAATCCAAAATAACAGAATTTGCAAGGACTATTAAACATGATAGTAGGGAAGTGACATTTGAAAGAATGATTACAATTCATTTAAATTTCTCTTTGATGGTGTTGATTTAACCATTGCTTATAATGTCAGAGCAATCACATGTTGGAATAATTACATGTCAGCCAATCAGCCTGATTCCGTTCGTGCTTCATCTATCTTCTTCATAGTGGTGCAGTACTAGTTATCTGTTACAGTACATGTTGGTAGTGTTTTCAGTGATTAGATAGTTAAATGACTAGTGGGTTATGCCGTCTTCCCAACTGACTGATAAATGCCAGCCATTGGATATCAAAAGAAAAGCAGAAATGAAGGAAATTTTGAAACTATTTAGTGTATTCTGTAGAATATACAGTGTTATGTAATAAAATAATGAACTAAAAAACTGGGTAAAAACTAGTTAAATTTTTACTCCACCTTAATGACATATACTGTTAGAATTATCAGTAATGAAAATATTTTCTGCATTATTTATGGTTAGATAAATATAACTATTTCTTTCTTAAATTTTACTTTAAAGAATGTGCTGTTTTTGTGACCTATAAACATTCTGTCTTGGAATTAATTTTTTTTTTTCAATTTATTAAAGAAATTATTTTTCTAATCTTATTTTTAGCTTATCAGTTGCATTCTTTATTATATTTTTGAATTGAAGGTGCTTATTTGTATCCATATTGTAAATATGCATTGTATGTATTTATAGATACATTCTAAGCAATATTTTTATTAAATAAATTTAAAAAAAAATTGTGATATGTATTGCTTAATTATACACATATATTGCCTAAATTTGAAAGATTGTCTTAAAAATAATTTTAACTTAGCATTTTAAATATTCATGCTAATTTCTTAATATTCTCATTTTGTCAGATTTTCATCAAGAAGGTAAATCGGTTTTTCTATTTTAATGCCGCTGTGATTACTTTATTGTATTTATTTTGTAGGTTTTTCATTGGAACATTTGAATCTACTTTTTCATTTCGTATTCAGGAAGAACGAGAGATCTTAGGCTTTCCTGTTGAAACAACATTTAATCGATTTTGTGGTGATAATCAAACAACTTGCCAACAGCCATCAAGATGGACTATAGTTTATTAATTAAAAATGTATATCAAATGATTTTAAATTCATAATTACATTTTTATTGAACTTCATAAAAAATACTAAAATTATATTTTGTTAGATTCTTTATTGATGTGCACAAAAATTATATATGATAAAAACTGGTTGATATGACATAAAAGATCAGCCCTAATGTTTTTTTTAACCTCAGAATTGAAACTGATTTTGAACCCTTAATAAAATTTTAAAAGTAGATAAAATTCAACTTTAAATTTTCATTAATTTTAGAGAAATGCTATGTGCATGTCAAAGGATCTGATAAATTTGACAGTAATGGTAATCTAATATTCAATAATGGTTGAAAGTTCTATTTAGGAGCCTCTGATGAATAGTGAAGTAACCTTTTCTAAATCCAAACTAAGTAGTTGAGATAATATTTTCTTGTACAAATTCAGTTAAGTGTATTATTGCTGATAATGCTTTCAAATAATTTATTGCCGGAAACAAATTGATCGGCTTGCAATTTGCAATGCTTTTCCATCTTTACCCGCCTTTTTAATAACAATTATTATTCCATGTTCCCAAGCTTAAGGAATCATATTGAAATGAAGGCAGGCATTAAAAATATCAATGATTAATACAACTCCTTTTTTGGAATATTTATTGCTGATAATGCTCCTTTTTTCACCATTTGCAGACTTATTCACAGAAACGGTAGACGAAACCAAGTTGTGTATTTACCGATCCTTTCTTGAACTTTTACAGAACTTACTTATCATGCTAGTGAACTAATTTTGAAATTTAGTATTTTATATTAATATCATGCGGACCTGTGAATAATTATAAAATTTATAATAAGTTTTGATAGAGGCTGGGCGTGTGCCTGAGTGCTCTGGTGATTACATATTTCAAACCTTGATGATTTCAATTATGACTCAACATTGAGAAATCCAGTTAAAAAACCCAGAATGATTTTTCACCATCCAAAGTGGGAATCTCTTCAATTTGAATGTGAAACTTGAACTTATTATGTGTAAATAGCGTATATATTTTATAAATACTCACCACATCTGGCAAAGCAGTTTATAAACTCTGTGCCATATGTACAGTGTTAATATAAAATAACATGTGAATTACAATAACCTGGCAAAGCAGGTTCATAGGATTTAATTATTTTACAATTTAACATTCAGATAAAACATATTATTCAAGATAAAAGTGTGTTCATATTTAAAATTTGTGCATTCCACAAGGGCTTGGTTAAATTATGAAAAGCAAGCTTCTGCTCCTGACTGTCTCTAGATACTGCTGCAACTGCTTTGTTTCGTGATGTCATGATAAATGCAACTTCAAACTACGATCAAATGCAGTCAAATAATTCATGATTTTAGTACCGCTACATGGGGGCTATTATTTTAACAATTTTTAGACTTCCGTATTTCAATTTTCATATTGAAGAGCATATTTCTGTACATAATCTGTAATAATGTGAAGAAAAACTAGCTACCTGAAACATTCTTTATAAGAGGATTAACATAAAAAATTATGTTTTATATATTGTCACTAAAGTTTGGGATATAACCCAAACTGTCAAACTCTTAAAGCTTAAATTATGTTCCTAAATTTTAATTTGAAACTATGTGCTATGAAATACACATATCATGCCTAAGATTTTCGCTTTTAAGGAGAAAAACAAAGTACCAATCCAAATACAGTCTTTCAATGGGCCAAAAATGGAAGAACTCGCACTTCTAAAAAAAATACTGAAAATTCAACTTTAAATTAGTTTAATTTTTGAAATGCATTCTTCCATATTCACTTTGACTTGCATTCGAATTCCTAGTTACGACAAATATTTCATCAAAAATCATGACTTATCGAAGCTCAAATAATTGAAGCTTTAGTGTATTCGTTGTATGGAAATTAAGTAATCAGAGTATAATAAAATAATAAAAAAAAAGTTATTGATCTTACTCTGGTGCAATTTCGTGCCTTAATCCAAATACAATGTAATGAAAGAGAAGACTTTTATAGAGCTGTTTTTGTCATAACTCTTAAGAGTAGATATCATGTTCTTTTTGTCTCTTCTATGTAAAAAAAGTCATACAACTTTAGTGTTGGGAAAAAGAAAACAATTTAAAAGAGACAAATCTGGAGAACATACTGGATGACTAAGTACGCATACTTATTTTGAGGACTGAGCGGTTTTGCGAAGTGGTTATTGATATTGGTGGAAAGATTCATTATCATGTAGTAGAATGGTTTCTGACTGAATAATGTTAAGATCAAATATCATCTGCCTTATTTTCAACTACTCAAGTCAGCTATGTAGCTAAACATTTAAAACTGCATCATTGTTTTGACAACTCGTAAAATAAACCTATGTCACTTAATCTGAACACTTGTTTAATCTTCTCAGATGAATAATGCTAAGAACACCAAGTGATACAACAATAGCAAACGTAACTGAGCATTCATTTGCATTCCAGCTTGGTAGTTTGAAGGCTAACTTTTTAACAAAACTTCAACTCTGTTCTTTGCACTTGATAATATAGCAATTGTGTTGTGTGCGTACGGGTTCGTATTAGATTGAATGCACCCATGTCCGATGATATGTTGATAAAATTAATTTTATTAAAAGAAACATTTCAGAGTTCTGGAACGATCACACAGAACTAGTCTTACAGGTGTTCACATTATCACAGAGTACAATCAGTATTCTTCAAACTACTAAGAATGTTAAACACAACACAATGGAAAGCGCATCTAAACAGGAAGCTAGCTGGAGATATCCAAGTACTCCAAATTTACGCTGATCTAACAACTGAGGACAGATGCTTTCTCTGATCTGATACAGTTTTCACCCAACCGCTGAAATATTTCTAGTACTTTCTGCTTCTTGAAATTACTGAAAAGTGTATGAGTGCCAGATACAGTCACAGCTAATATAGTGACCAGTTAAATTTATCTGATACAGGGGCTGGACCGAAATACCCATTATGGAGGTTAAATTAAACTACGGTACCTATTACGGAAATGCAGGGACTGGACCAAAAAGTCTTCTGCCAAATTTGACGATGCAAATTAGTTGATGGAACATGGCCAGCTTGGCGATATCTCACCAATTTAGCGACTGGTGGATGATTCTGTATCAGCAGTATCAATTCTGTACTGTGTCAAACTAGCTCAACCTACATCAGAAGACAAGTAGGAGAAACATTCTGAAATACTTAATGACACGTTCGACACCACTCTTTTCTTCATCCCTTAGTTGCGTGCTCTGCAATAATTCTGATGATCTTCGAAGGTTCTGGAGAGTAACTGTTTCGTTTAACGCAGGTAGGGCTTAATTTCTAAAATTAGAAGTGCCGGAGCCCTATGGAAGACTGAGAGGAAGAAAAAAAAAAGAGGCTAAATATTAATATAAATAAATAATAAGTTTAAAATAAAATTTATTTATTTAATTATTAAATTAATTAATTAATTTAAATTAAGAAAAATGTAAAGAGAAATCTAATAAGTTATTAAATTAATTTTAAATACGTAAATAAAAATAAGGTATCGGACCTCGTCTTATTTGGGGCATCGGCTGGAATTATAATTCCACTTGGATGCTAAGAAGCAGCTCAGAACAGGTACCACTCTTTTTCTCTTTTTTTTAAAGCATACCAAGGAAAAAGATAAAATGATTAAAGATCCACTAAGGAAGAATAGTGAGAATTATAGAAACAGTATGAAGATATGATGGAAAGAAATTTAACGGAAAAGTTTAGCTTTGAAAATAAAGAGGGAAGTGTTCATGACTTTGTGGTCGTGATGCTCTGTCGATATAATTCTAGCCGTCAAACAGAAATTTTCCCTGAATACACCGTGAGAAGAAACATAAGACTTCTTTCTACAAGTGGCACCCCCGTTTGGTTATATCATTCAGAAAATCTACAGGAGCTCTGCAGTAGGAAGTCACTAGCGTGGAACGTGCACAACCAGGGTATCACTTTTATTTTGTTGAAGGAATGCAAAATTTACCTGCTCTCATAAATTCATTGCATATCCTGGAGAATATGCATAAGATTGGGGGGGGGTTTCTTTCCTGAAATGTCTCAACCTCTGTGCAAGGTTTAAGTGTGAGGGAAAGACAGGCCTGCATTCAGAAGTTAGAATTGATTTTTAAGGCATGTTTACGATTAACGGTGCGCTCCGGCTGAAATTATAATTTATCTCGAAAACTGAGAAGTACCGGAGCCGGGCTCCAGCGCAATTTAAGCTCTGAATGCAGGTCACTGGAGAACATCTCTGTAGCAATCTTGCTTTTGAGCAAGAAGAAAGGAGGTGAGGACTTTGGCGAACGCCGTTTCCTTCAGTCCGTGAGACTCGGTAAGTTAGAAGAAGTTGGCGAGTAAACGACCCAATTTCGGAATTCTTAGGTTGGAATTGTTAACTAATTCTGCAGAAAGGAAGTATTGAATGTCTTCTTTATCGCAGAATTTGGCGATATAGTTCCTTAGAGAATTGTATTTTTGACACTCATTCAGTCTGTGCTCAAAATCATCTCGTACTTTGCAATTTACGCATAAAAAAGGAGTGCTTGAAAGTTTTAACTTGAATTTAAGGTAGTTCGTGAGGATACTTCGAGTGAGGATTTTGTTAATTTTACATTCCATTTTCCTTGAGTCGGGCCAATTAATATTCAAGTATTTGGTATTTAAAACATTTTTAAAATGCCAATAATAGTTGGAATTCTGCCAGATGGTATCAATTTCCCCCTCTTTTGTCTTCCTTAATTTCTTTTTTGATATCCTTCCATGTATATATAGGGAGGATGAGAGTATTGCGTGAATTTACCGCCTGTTTAGCCAAAAAATCTGCCCCTTCGTTGATCTCGATGCCTTTGTGACCAGGTATCCAACAAATTATAATCTTATTATTTGTTATTTGAATCTTCGAAGGAGGCAATAGCTTCTACTGCCGCAAGGCTGTCAGTGAAAATTCTCGTCTCTTCGGAAAGGTTAGCTAGATATTTCAAAGTGTACCAAATTGCTGAAACTTCCGCGGTGTATATAGAAGCATTTTTTACAATTTTGATGGCTCTGTTCACGGTATTTTGTAGATT